CCCTCCTCCATTCCTTCTACTTATAGATAACTCCTCCCTGTCGCACCCCGAGGCCAGTTTTTAGGGTGGGACGGGCGTTTCGCCTGAGACTTCCTCACCATGTACTTCTCCGAAGCTTAAACAAGCCGAACAGTTTCACAGATGGAGGGCAGATGGTTTTCAAAATGTGGCTCTCGCCTTAGCGCGGCGCACATTCGTTTGAAAAAATTGCAAGAGTTTCACAGATTGAGGGCGGGTGGTTTTCAAAGTGTTGCTCTCGCCTGAGCGCCGCGTACATTCGTTTGAAAAATTGCAAGAATTTCACAGATTGAGGGCGGGTGGTTTTCAAGATGTGGATCTCGCCTTAGCGCCGCGTACATTCGTTTGAACAATTTGCAAGAGTTTCACGGATTGAGGGCAGGTGGTTTTTAAGATGTGGCTCTCGCCTGAGCGCCGCGTACATTCGTTTGAACAAATTGCAAGAGATTTACGGATTGAGGGCGGTTCCTTTTCAAAATCTGGCTCTCGCCCAAGCGCCGTGCACATTCATTTTCAACATGTGCAAGAGTTTCACGAGTTCCCATGATCAACGTACCAGAAACGGTGTTTGAAGGATTCAGGAGCATGCGGGCGCAACAGTCATGTTGATTCGCTGTGTTGAAGGCCCAATAACGGCGTTCTGCCACGATTCTGGATCGTCAAGACGCAGAAGTCAGGTTGATACGTGGCGTTGAAATCCAGAGAACAACGTTTTGGCACCTCCTCCTCCTCCTCATCCTCCTCCTCCTCCCTCTCCCCCTCCCCCTCCCCATCCCCCTCCTCCTCCTCCTCCTCCTCCTCCTCCTCCTCCTCCTCCTCCTCCTCCTCCTCCTCCTAGTCTTCTTATTATTATTAATGATATTATTATCATGATTATTATTATTAATAGTATTATTATTATTAATAATATTATTATTACTACTACTATTATTATTATTATGATTTGAATTCTTAGTTTGTGTATTATTACTACACCAGAGAAAAAACCCGATCAGTGGATGGTTTTCGCTGACGAGGTCGACCGGGAACCCGGGAGCCCGGGAACCCAAAACCCACCGGAATCGGCCCGGAACCAATACCCGGGAACCCGGGAAGCCGGAACCGGAAACCAGGAACCCAGGCTGCTACCAAAATCGGCGGGAGACATTCGCCAAATCATTCAACTTCCGCTAGGACCCCTTCAGTGCAAGCACTGATTGGGGAATTAATATGATTGGAATTATGATTCGTCTTCTTATTCGCCTGCGCATTCTTATGTTTATGATTAATAGTATTCGCATTGTTATTCGTATTATTCGTTCTCGCATCAGTTGTCTTATTAGTGTTCGACTTATTGTCATGGTTATGATGGTTAGTATTCGAATTCTTAGTATTCGTAATATCAAGTAGCGTTGCAACTTTTTTTTATTCGTATGAGTGTTAATAATGAAGTACTATTGTGTCAGTTTACTCGTATTAGTTTATTATTCGCATTATCATCCGTATCATTATGGTTCGTACTAAGGTTACTTGTCTTAGTCTTCTGATTAGAAATACTAGTACGATTGTTCGTCTTAGTACAAGTATAGATAGTGTTAGCATTATTCGTAGTAGTCGTATTATTATTATTCTTGGTGTTATCATTAGTATTATTAGTAAAAATAAGAAAGACAAATAAACATAATAATAATGATAATAATAATAAATAACAACAACAACAACAATAGTAATTGTCTTATCTTCTTCTTCTTCCTCCTCCTCCTCCTGCTCCTCCTCCACCTCCTCCTCCTCCTCGTGTGGGCAAAACCCGAGTGAAAACGGACGGCGCCACACCGTGCCGAGGAGGCTCTCGGGGACTGGGCTCTGAGGGCTCGCCTCGGGCACTCCTGAGATCCGAGCCTCCGGCTGCCTCATCCTCGTCGCAGGGAGGAGGAGGGAGGAGGAGGAGGAGGAGGAGGAGGAGGAGAAGGAGGAGGAGGAGGAAGAGGGAGGAGGAGGAGGAGGAGGAGGAAGGGGAAGAGAGGAGCAGGAAGGAGGAGGAGGAGGTAGGAAGGGGAGGAAGGAAGAGGAAGGAGCAGAAGGAGGAGGAGGAGGAGGAGGCGTGGAGGGGGAATGGGGGGGAGGAGGAGGAGGGACGAGGAGGAGGAGGAGGAGGAGGAGGAGGAGGAGGAGGAGGAGGAGGAGGAGGAGGAGGAGGGGGGGGGGGGCAGCGCAGGGGGGGAGGCAGGAGCCCCCTCTCCCACGCCCACCTGCCCATCTGCCCTGTCCCTCCCTCGCTCCCTCCAGCCCCGCCTCAACATCAGGAAGGGGCCCAGGGACACACAGCGAAAAGCAACAAATCCAAGGATTCCCCATGTTTTTCCCATATGTTCTGGGTGTTCGTCTTCCCCCCATGTCCGATATGTTTCCCATCTTTTCCTGCGGATCGACGATGAATGGTGTCTGTGTGTGTGTTTTGAACCCCCCCTGACATCATGCCTTCGTGGTATATGCACCCAACTTTGCCACCTGGCCGGCGAGTAGCCCCCACATCCAGGGGGGTCCATCCTGCCTGTGATGTGAAGAGACAAAACAAATTATACGTTTTTCGTTTCAACTTGTCGTCGCTGCTGCAGAATATATAACAGGAATAGGACGCGGCGCGCACTGCGCTCGCGTCCAATCGAGGCCGTGGGGGTCAATCTGGACGGTGTGCCTTCGCCTTTGCGACATGCGCGGCAGGAATGGGGAATGGGACGGGGAACACGTTGCGCTCGAAGTAGCAAAATGGCGCTCCCCGGCGTCGCGCTCCGTTCTCCTGAGAGTCGCGAGAAGCTCCCCCATCGGCGCGGCGCTGATTCCTGGCTCGTCCGTTCGTCCACGCGCGATCCGACGGGCACGTTGTCGCTTTTCGCCTCGGTGCCGCGCAGACTTCCCTGCAAGCGTCGCTCCCGCCGCGGCGCGGCGCACACGTGTTCGCTCACCAGCAGGAAGTTGGGGGGGCCCCGCGCGAGCGGGCGCCTGGTCGCCCTCGCCCAAGTCCCGTGCAAAAGCAGCCTGACGTATGCTCCTCGGCCGCCGAGCCACACGGAAGGACAGCGGCCGCGGCAGCGGAGCCGCGCGAGGGCGGGCGCAGCGTGACCCTCGCCGAGACGACGCACATTGTCGGCGGCGACGACAGGGGCGAATAGCCCAGGGCGGGGCATGACACGTATTCGCCCGGGGGCCTTTTCGAAGACATCGATCATCGGCGCACCTGGATACGTGTACTGCTCTCGCCTGGGCTATTCGCCCCTAATCGTCGCCTCTGACATTGTGTGAAACTGGCAGTGCCGCTCCGGCGCGGCGCAAGCGCCGCCTTCGCCGCGCCACATCGCGCTCGGCCTGGCCAACTCGAGCCTCAGGCATCCTCCCACTTCCCTCCTGTGCCTCCAGCACGCCCGCCCGCCCTCTCCCCCTTGCTCGCCATCTCTGCCCTTCGAACTCCTGCGGCCATCTCTTCTGCGCTGTATGACGCTCTCTGAAGTTTCGAGGCGGATCGCCGTGCTGTGGTGTCGCTGTACGAGCTTGCCGGTCATCCGGTTGGGCGTGGTGCCAGTGGAGTCGGCCCGACGTTTCTGCATTCCTCGGTGAGCCCTTCGAGCGTTGTGAGCGTTTTTGTTATTCAGCGTTTCGACATTGGGCGGAAGGGGGGGAGGGAGGGGAGTCTGGCTCCGGACCTCTGCTGAGTGCGACTGTTTGCAGCACTGGGTCCTATGAGGAGAGACTCCATCTGCTCGAAACAGGCGCCCAAAACAACCAAGATCTACTCCAGGGGGGGAGGGGAGGGGTGGAGGCCCGCGCCGATCGGCAAAACGAACCGGTCACATTTTGGTTGTGGTTGAAGGTCAGGCAGCCCCTGATCATTTTCAGAGTGTGCTGTCGAGATCGGGCGTGCATCCGCCTGCTGAGAAGTGTCGTCCAGCTTGGGCGTCGGGGAGCAGAGGATGGCGCACGGACGGTTCTCGGGGGGATCCCAAAAGACTTCGGCGGTGACGTGTGTTCTGTTCCCACGGGAAGCTTTCGGGACTGGAGGTGCAGCCGCCTCGCTGTCTATGTCGTCCAGCTCGGGCATCGGGAACCGAAGGATGGCGCACAGGCCGCTCAGCTGCGCGAGCTGCTCGCCGCTGACGTGCTGCGAGGAGAATATGTGGACTGTGGAGCCGGAGTCCTTCACCGTCTCCGTCAGCTCGACATACTGTCTTCTCAGCGACACGTTGGCGTTGCGGAAGAGCGAGTCGGTCACCATCAGCGTGGCCACGGCGCCGCTTTCGACTGCATTCTTGACCTGCAGAGGCCCGTAGCAGACCCTGTCGGGCTCGTCCTTGACGAGGCTGTAGAACTCTTCGAGCGCCTTCAGGTGCAGAGCGGCCTTGGTGTTCGCGATGCTCTTCTGGACCTGATCGTCCGCCAAGAGTTCTTTCAGCGCCTGCTTGTGCGTGCACGAAGCCTGCGCTGCCACGAAGACGCTCTTCTTTTTCAAAGTCGCCGAGTCTCCTGTCTGCGTCGCTCTGAGGATCATCCATTCTAGAAAATCAGTCTTAACAAAGCCAGGGCCCGCCAAGACAACACACTTGACAAGGTCAAGATTGATGTGCTCTCTTATCCCAGCGTACACTTGCTCGTAGAAGCGGACCACAGCCTTGTCATAGCCTGTAGTGGTCACACGCTTCTTGGGAAGCTGCACTGAGACCTTATGCACATCCTTCGCCAAAACAGCTGTCAACAGAAAATAATTTGCAACACCTGCGTCTAATAAAACAGCGGCTACCTCTGCCGTTTTGTGCACATCGGTAGCCTGGTTCAACTGCTGCAGGAACATAAAATCCCAGCAGTCTTTAAATACGGTGATCTTGTTGTTCAACTCGATACCAATTGTGTGGGCCTGTCCCATCTTGACGTACTGGTTCTCCTCACAGTTCTTCCCAGAGAACCTGATAAGATCACCTGCATGAGTGAGTAGGGGGGATGATAAAAATGATGAAGAGGATGCGAGAGAGAGGATGAGAACTATCAAGAGAGGCGCCAGGAAGCTTCTGGAGGTCCACCAGAAAGACCCACAAGGACCCCAAGACGCCAGAACAGCTACATCCTCGACCCCACCAGGAAGGATGAGGCGAAGGAGAAAGAGGAGGGTCTCCCGCGGCGTCGTACTCCACCGACTTGACCTCGATGGTCAGCATGATCTTCTTCGTCTCTGTCTGCACGGTCCCGGTGCTGCCCTCCTTCTGAACCTTGCGCCAAGTCATGGCCCTGACCCTGTCCCCCCTGACCACGATGTTCGGCGGCGAGCGAGGGGGGGAAATGAGAAGGAGAAGGCCTCCGCAGAAGGCGGCGGGGCTTCTCAGAAGCCCTCGCGTCTTCTGCGAGGCTTTCTGCGTCTTCGGGGAAGGCTTCGACAATTTCTTCGAAGGCTGGTGGACTCCCGGGCCTTCTGAGGATAGAGAAATAAAAAACGACATAGACACAATATGTTGGCGCTCCGCGCCGATTTCTTGGATCCGCGCTGGGCCCATCGGCGCGCGGAGCGCGCCGGGGGCGGCGCCTGAGGCGCCGCTGGGGGGGCCCGGCGCGGATCCAAGAAATCCGCGCGGAGCGCCAAACGATTCTGTCTGTGCCGTCTTGTCTTCATCGAGAGGGGGCCCGCCCCCTCTCGCTTCCCCCCCCCGGCCGCGCCGCCGAGCTGTTGTAGAGGTGCCACAGGTCCTCCGACTCCTCGGGGACGAGGGTCGCATCTCCGCTCCCGTCCTCGGCGGCCACGGCGCGCGGGCCGTGGGCGGGAAGCGGGAGTGGGAGGAGGAGGAGGAGGAGGAGGAGGAGGAGGTGGAGGTGGAGGAGGTGGAGGTGGAGGTGGAGGTGGAGGAGGAGGAGGAGGAGGAATAACCCTACGACCTCCGGCCTCCCTCGCACCCTCGGGCGGAGGTGTGCCTCTCTGGCTCCTCGGCCTCCACCGCCACCGGCGAGGCTCACCCTGGGCCCGGGATCGGTGTATCGGGGGCGTCCACGAGGGGGGCGTCCAAGAAGAGGGTGCAAACCATGGCCGGCGGCAAGTGCGCGGCCCGGGGGGGGGGGCGGGGACGTATCCCACCAGCCCTCTGGGCGCAGGTGGTCTAGGCGCTTCCTTTCCACCTCCTGCCTTTTCCCTGCTCGGGAGGTTTTACCCCCCCCCCCCCCTTCCATGCGTTTGGACGGGCTCCCCCGCGAGGGGTTAGAGGGTCCTTTTTGGCCCAAGATGGCTCCAAGAGGGCCTCGGAGAGCGCAAGATGGCGTCCAAGATGGCCGAAGATAGCGGTAGATGGGTCAAGATAGCCTCCGACACACGTCCAAGAGGTCTCAAGACGGCCCCAAGACGGTTTCAAGTGCCCTCCGAAGCCTCCAAGGACACCCCCAAGAGGCCAAAATCCTTCAAAAAAACACGGAAAACCATGTGTTTTGCCTTCTCGCTCTTTCGCCTCCGATGGGCTCTTGATGCGTCAAGATGGCCCTCAAATAACCCAAGACAGCCCCAAGAGGGGCCCAAGAGGGCCCCAAGTTGGCCCCAAGAGCGCTCCAAGAGCGGGCCAAGATAGCCCCAAGACGGCATTTTAGAACTTCCGATTGGGGCGATGGGAATTGGAACCTCCATCTTTCTTAGCGAAAGGGTCCAAGACGGCCCAAGAGGCCCCTCTGGCATCCAAAAAGAGCCCCAAGAAGGCCCCCTGACCCCAAAAAAGAGCCTCAAGGGGGGCCCAGAACACCATCATAGCTTGCACGGATTTCCATATTGAGCGTCAACGCGGGAAGCTCTTTGTGATCCTTGTTTTCCCGAAGACGGATGCGCAACTGCATGCGTCCTGCCGCCCCTGATTCACCGACTCCCCTGCGGATCGTTTCTGGATGGGTTGGTGGGGATACTTTTTGGTTGCGGGCGCAAGCGAGAGCGCAGGCGCCGTCCAAGCAAGTCCGGGTTGCGGCACCTACTAATCTACAGCGAAAGCAAGCGGCGGGCGCCAGCTACCTGCCGAGGGCCGAACTAACCACCTACCACGGCTGCTCAGGCTGCGGCTGCACTGGACCAAGCACAGATCCACACTGCCGAATGCAAGTATGCTGAATTGATGTGCAAGCTGGTGGGGATACTTTTTTGGTCGGCGGCCGCGCGACGACGGTCTGGCGGCAACAGGCAATGTCCGGGGCGGGCGGCACAAAGCTAATTGCACACAGAGCGTGCAGTTGCACATTCACTGAACAAAATGCTCAGCATTCACCAGCAGACGCACCCGGGCGCCGCCCAGTAAACCAAAGTGTACAATCGGCCACGAGTGCAAATGCAACGGAGTGAGTCGCCCTTGCGGCGCCAAGCTCCGAGCAGGCGACCCTGCTAGCAACGATGCACGAGCCCGGGTAACAGGCCGCTGGCGGTGGAAAACAAGGGGCCGAAGGCGCGGAAAGCTGAACCACTCAGCGCGCAGCCCTCGAACTCCACCGCAGAGTTGGGGGGGCTGGCGGCATCCATCGCATCGAGTCCGGCGCATGCGAGGAAGGCCCGGGGATGGTGCGACGATGCGTAAACGCACGCTGTACCAGGCAGCAACACTCAAGGCGAGGCATTCAGGCACAGCAACCCTCAATGTCGGTGGACACCAACGACTGTCCGAGCACCACAGTGTCGTCCTGCTGCGAAGAGGCCCACCGGTGCCAGCCGCAGACGACGCAGAGGGGAGAGCGCGTGGGGGGGGGGCTGGTGGGGATACGCGAAGCGTCAAGAATTGAAATAAGAAGAGGCGCCATGAGATCTGGGAAAATACCATGGCCCACGCCATGATGTCCACCCCCCCTAGCCATCACCCCCCTCTCGGCCGCCCCCGAGTGCAGCCAGGCCCCCTCGAGCCAGCACGACGGGAGGTTTTTGCTCGCTGGCTTCTGATGGGCCTCGGGACCGTCAAGGACGACTCGGGTTATGTCGGGCGTGTCACCCTACAGGGGGAATCGAAAAATAACAAATACCTTAAAAATTTCCCAAAGAAGGTCAAAAACTACTAAAAAAATAATCCCCTGACTATTTTTGGACTAGTTTTTTACGATTTTGGGGGTATTCTTCATTTCTCGTCGAAAATCCCCCTGTAAGGGGACAGGCCCGACTCAAGACTCGGGATGAAAAACCGGCTCCGAGGGGGGCACGGCGGGCTTGGCCGTGGAGGCGTGCGCGCCGCTCCCCCGCCCAAGATGGGCCCCGCGAGCCTGTCTGCCCAGCAGCGCCGGAGGCCGAAGCGCCACGTCTGGGGACCCGCAGGAGCGGAAACGCCCAAGCCGGGGGGCCGACAGTCGACAGGGCACTCCTCCTCCTCCTCCTCCTCCTCCTCCTCCTCCTCCTCCTCCTCCTCCTCCTCCTCCTCATCATCATCCTATTCCTCCTCCCCCTCCTCCTCCTCTCCTCCTCCTCCTCCTCCTCCTCCTCCTCCTCCTCATCCTCATCCTCCTCCTCCTCCTCCTCCCCCCCTCCTCCTCCTCCCCTCCTCCTCCTCCCCCCCCTCCTCCTCCTCCTCCCCGCCTCTCCTCCTCCTCCCCCCATCCTCCTCCTCCTCCTCCTCCTCCTCCTCCTCCTCCTCCTCCTCCTCCTCCTCCTCCTCCTCCTCCTCCTCCTCCTCCTCCTCCTACCTCCCCCTCCTCCTCCTCCTCCTCCTCCTCCTCCTCCTCCTCACTCCTCCCTCCTTCCTCATCCTACCTCCTCCTCTTCCACCTCCTCCTCTCCTCCACCAATCTCCTCGTCCTCCTCCTCCCCTTCTCCTCCCTCCCTCCCTCCCTCCCTCCCTCCCTCACTCCTCCTCCTCCCCTCCTCCTCCTCCCCTCCTCCTCCTCCCCTCCTCCCTCCTCCCCCCCTCCTCCTCCTCCCCCTCCCTCCTCCTCCTCCCCCCTCCTCCTCCTCTTCCTCCTCCTCCTCCTCCTCCTCCTCCTCCACCTCCTCCTCCTCCTCCTCCTCCTCCTCCTCCTCCTCATCATCATCATCACCACCATCATCATCATCATCATCATCATCATCATCATCATCATCATCATCATCATCAGAGGCTGAAGCGCAACGTCTGGGGGCCAACAGGAGCTGAAACGCCCAAGCTGTGGAGCCGACAGTCAACGGTGCACTCCACAGTAGCCACGGTGGCTCAGGCAGCTCAGTGAGCCACGGCACTGGGCAGTTCCGCCGAGCCTGCCCGTACCACAACACGCACAAGTTTGAGACATCTTCTTCAGACATTCCGCCGCTCAGTCAAGAAGCTCGGGGAGAACGAAAGGGGGGGATAGCAAAGGGTAGGGTAGAGAACCAGCTCACGTAGCTGATTTTCCCAGCGCCTCCCGGCGCCGGTAGGTACCCATGTATCGAGGAATGGCCCCGGCGGTGGGGCCGAAACCAGCTGCATGCAACAGATTTCGTACCCGCCCCTTTCCCTATCCCGCCCTTTCGTTCGGCCCGAGAAGCCCAGACATTAGAGGCCTCCTTCGTGGGGTCGGAGTAGGTGAGGTCGGAGGAACGCGCCGCATCGCCGACGCATTGGCGATGCATCGGTGATGCATCGGCGATGCACCAACGATGCATCGTCGACGTCGGCGATGCATCGGCGACGTCGCCGTGAAGCAAATCGGGCCCCACGTCGAACCGCATCGGCGATGCATCGCCGATGCGGCACGAACATCCGACCCCATCTACTCCGACCCCGTCTAGGAGGCCTAGAGACATACTAGCGGCTGTCAAAGGCGAGACGCAGCAAGCCTGTGTTTTTCTTCTTTGGGTGACTCAAAAGGGGGTCCAGCTGAAAGGGGTTGGTGCAATAGATTTGGGGCAATCGTATTGCGAATGCACTGCGCGGGAGAATTGTATTGCATTGTCCTGCAAGTGATGCATCGCACGCGAGGTACACTGGGGCCCCGAAATGTACTGCGCGCCCCATGTCTTGCAACCCCACAAACCTGTTGCACCAAATCTGTTGCACCACCCCCTTGTCGCTGGACCCCCTTTGGGGTCCAGCGGCTGTCAGAGGCGAGGCGCAGTGGGGAGGCCCGTCTTTTTTTTTCTCGGCGGAGGGGAACGGCCAGCGCGCCCACGGGGACGGCGCGAGGGTGCGGCCCGCCGAGAAGGCGGGGGGGGGCGTGAGAAGGCAGGGGGGCCTCTCGGAAGCCATCCCAGCTGGGCTTCCGAGAGGGTGTGCTAAAAAAAAACAGGCGTGATACAAAACAAACAACTCCGAACGAGCGTGATGGGGCAAAAACGAGTGCGATACAAAAAAAACAAGTGCGACAACAACAACAAAAAAACACACACTCGTCTCTGTGGTGTCACACCTGGTCCTGATCGCACTCGTTTTTTTTATCACGCTCGTTCGTCCCGACGAGAGGGCGGGGGGGGGGGCCCGTTCGAAGGCAGGGGGGGCTTCGCAGAAGCCACCCCCGCTGGGCCTCCGAGAAGGCCGCCCCCCCCGGGGCACCCGCCCCCTCGCGCGCGCCGCCCGTCGAGCAGCGGCGCGGCGTCCTGGCCTGCCCCACGGGGGGCCCACCGAGGAGTGTGCTCGTCTTCTGACTGGGCGTGTCGACACATCGGGCTTAGGTCGGGCATGTCCCCCTACAGGGGGATGTTGGACGAAAAAGAAAAAATGCCCAAAAAATACCCCAAAAACATTCAAAAATGGTCCAACAAAAAATCTCCAGACTATTTTGGGGGACTATTGTTGAATATTCCCCCTGTAGAGGGACAGGCCCGACCCAATACTGGGCGGAAG